ACCGAGCCACTGCAAGCACCTACCCCCTTAGCCACTACAGCACCGATACCGACAGAGCCACTCCAAGCACCTACCGGCCGAGCCACTCCAAGCACCTATAACAGCGATTTCGTCAAAACGGACATTTTATATTTTTTGAACGAAATTTAAATTGTCATTTCCGTGGTGATTTAGGGTCAAAAATGCATTTGAATTTGGGGTATAGGTATACATGCAGGGGTAAGGGGTAAGGGGTAAGGGGTAGGGGGTAAGGGGTTTGGGGGTAAGGGATAAGGGGTAAAAGACAAGGGGTAAGGGGCAGGAACTTGGAGCAATGGTTGTCATCTTCTATACACTGTTTCCATGACAAACAATTTAATGTTACCCACATCCATCCRCATGTAATCACAATATCCAGCAGCAGGTTCATGCTACTCGCGAGCCACTATGTCCAAAGCCATCCGACGACGTATTGCGGGTATGTCATCAGCGGTGAAAGAGAAAGGCGGAAGGTGACCCCTTGCCAATAGCGATGCGTATGCGAGCATGAAGACCCCACATGAGCTAGTGTCACGTTTTTCGGAACGCCCTCTACGGTCCATATGTGATTAAACGGTTTCGTGTCCACCTCTTTGCCTTGCTGAATCGATCTTTTAAACAAAAACTTAGCAAATCCGCTAGCCACTTTGGCTGCCAGTTCTTTGTCGGGGCTGAGGGAGTCGTAAAATTCAAATTTCCTCCTCCTGAAGTCAGCCACAACGAGGGGCAATTATCAGGTCCATGTCACTTATTATAATGTCATTCGACCAGTGTTGCACCTCTCGCTCTTGATATCTCATTTCGCTGTCGAAAAGTCTGGCGAAGAAAAACGAGCTCAGCACTGATATTCTAGGAATGCGACCCTTTCCGATTCTAATCACGGTTTCGTTCTCGGCGTCGCATTCTACGTTTGTGATTCTACACCAGTTGTCTAGTGCGATGAGGTTCAGGTAGAAGTTGATGACGTCGCCATTTAACCAGTTCCGCTCGTCGACAAGTAAAATAAATTTGTCTCAAGTTAACTTCAATACTTCGTTCGTCCCATGATTGTGTGTGCTCGCTATTGGGAACCTTTTCCCGTACTCCCAGTATACATGTGAGAGTGCTTTCATCTCCTTCTCCGATAAAGAAGATGTTGTGAGGCGCATTGTCCACCCTCTTTTGCACTTTTTTGTATCCGTTGTTGTAATTTGCACTGCACACGACAAGCACGATGAATACGACATCGACGGCAGTGTAAACAACGGTGACCGAGGCGGACAGGGGTGTAAAAAATGGTCGCCCTTACAGGAAAGTAAGAAATGGGTGGGCAGGCGGTGTAAAAAACGGGGAGGGCGACCATTTGAGATACTTGTACATGGGCAAATGCCTTAGCATAACATGCTAAACGGAAATAATGTATTCAAGATACGTCATCAATGTTTCGCTAAACTTACACTTAGATGGACGACAACACTTCGGGATCAATCAATCCTGACTCCTGCCCCCTTTCATCACCGTACCCCAACGGCATACATGCATATACACAATGCAGTATATTCGCGAATATAGAGAGACACACACGCATACTACGACACACTCTTGTTCACCACACAATTTTCTTGTCAACAATTAAAAGGCCAAATCCCGAAAATTGAACACTTATGAGTCTGCGGTCGATTGTACACAGGAACAAATTCCGCCCCCAAACCCAGATTTCAAACAAATGAGCACACACACAAAAACATTAAATTTTCCCGCGAAGAGGATTCCCCTCAAGTTCATGCCCTGTCTCACCCCTTATTTTCTGCATGCGTGGGATCGCTCACGCCCTTTCCGCCTTCTACCCCATCCTCATCGTCCGTCGTCATGTCCTCAATATTGCGAGAACGTGGAGCCCCCCCTTGCATTTCCCCCATTCCCATCATCCCCTTTGACCCCTCCCTGTGGTGTTGTTGTATAGTGTGCGTCACCTTTGCTAGTGCATGTGGGCGGATGCAACGACATCTCCGTGACGCCCATCCCAGCAGTAGACTCTAACACCATCTCCGATGTGCCTGCCAGCGCTGCACCTGTCGCGAGGAGACTCCCGTATGTGGCGCCTGCATCCTCCGGCTTGTCGAGTGACACTTTTTCACCTTGTGATGTACCCCCCGTTGTGACAGAGATGGCTCCGATGGTGTTTTTGCCTGCGGGCGTGTTCCCCGCCTCTGGCAACGGAGGCTTCACGCCCAATGTCGTCTCGCCATCTTCCCTTTGTTCACCCATCGTGTTCCCTGTGGCCGCCTCGGGCACAGGGGCGGCATATTCTCGGGAGTCCACGTCCATGCTCTCGAGCGCGGCGGTGCGGTCAACCTTCCAGTCAATCTTGCCGTACGAGGGGCTCGACTGCAGCTCGTAAAACTTGTGTGAGTGTGAGTACTCTAACTGCCGAGTGGCTCCCAAGACGTTGAACAATTGTTTCGCCTTTGCCGCGATGGATGTTTCACTCTCCCCGGGGTTCTCTTGCTGACAGCGGTATAGTATTGATTGCTCCGTCGTCTTCAGCCAGCTGTCCTTTCCCACGCGGGCAAACGGTCTCCAACCCTTCGAGACATACCTCACCGCCATTTTCCACTCCCCGCCTTGGATACATGGCTCGAAAATGCCGTCATGCCAAATGATATCATGGCCCCACTTGTCTTCACTAGTGCAGGTGTATTTGTCATCCAAGAAATACACATTGTTTGGATCCGCACAAAATCTGGGAGGAATCGGATCGCCTGGCGCCAGCTTCGTTGGCTGAGCAGGAATATCAAGGTCATCGTCTTCGTCGTCTTCCATAGGCGTACATACAACCCGGTCCACACCCGAGGCCACACTGTTCGCGGGTGGCAGGTTCGAGCATCTCTCTGATTGACCCGGTCCCTATCCCTTGACGCTTTGCTCCATGGCAGCGGACTTCCCACACTACCCAACCGCATTGGTGTCCTTTTCCATCTCGAGGTCGGAGTCCGACGAGTCTTCCTCGCTGTCAACGGGGTTAAAGCCTTCACCCGATTTAGCGAGGTCTGCATAGTCCTTAAACGTCAGTTTATCTTTGTAAAGATCAAACCTCAACATCTCGCATCGAGCAACGAATGTCTCGAAGGCGGCAGTTAGAGCACCATGATAATGTTTGAGGGCCTCGGTCACCTTGGCTTTCCTATATATGTATCCCCCATCAAGGCGTCCATCCGGCGCATTGTAGAACAGGTATTGCCACACCTTCAGTCTTTTCGGTCCCAACTTATGGTACATATCCCTGTTCGTGCGATGTGTGTCACGCGGCTTCTTGAGGCGACACTCAAATCTCCCATCCTTAACAAGTATGTCGACGAACTTTTTCAAGTATGCAATGTCCTTGGCCGACTCGTCACAGACAATGACATTATTACCTGCAAGCAATAACTTCCATACAAGACCCGCGTGCACCCTACCCAGCAAAAGCACACCTTCCGCCTCTCCTACAACTGAGCTGCACAACTTCCGTAACTTGCCAGGTTCTCGCTCCCAAATTGAATATGCGGCACTTTCGTGGCCTTCGACGCCACCGTGTTTTCCGAGACACTTCCCGAACTTTTCCTCCACAACATGCACTTCGGTGAGATCGTTGTGAAGACGGGGTGCGACAGTTACTTTTTTCAGATCCCCTCCTTCAGCGTGCAGCACGATCGCCACCAGGTCCCGACTGCTCGTAGCGATGTTGCCGTACCTTATGACGTCGCTCGACAGCCTGTCCACGCGTTTCCATGACCCGGGGATGAGCTCCATGTCCTCCCAACCGTACAATTGACGCAAGACATCGCTTTGTACATTCTGCGGTGCAAAGAAGAAGAGGACCCGATTTGGACCACAACACTTCGCCATCATTGCGTAAAGTGGATCGAAGTCCTGTGAGGTCCATGCACTGCTGAAATTCGCGGCCGAGATGTCCACGATGGCGGCCCTGCATGTCATTTTTTGTGCGGCTGTGACGATGTCGACGGGCGCCGCCATAACCTCCTTTGACCGCATGCATACAGGAAGCAATGTGGTCTGCCTGCCGAGTTTGTCCCACACAAGATGGCGTGCACTAGAGGCGATCCGTTTCACCTCCGCTCGAAGCATATCGAGCTTATCGATCGTGGTGTATATAAAGACCTTGAAGTGAAACAAAGCCTCCTTGTACATCACTTCTGTAGGCCCCAAGCCCGCACCTTGCCTCGCCTCCTCCACTCATCCAAGTCGCCGAGGGATCGTTTTCACTAAGTTGCTATGCAGCTTCTCCCGTTGCTTCTCCCATTCATCTGCGCATAACCCGTTTGAAACATACCTCTCTTCCAGATCCTTGTATGACATGAAGAAGTCGTCGTTCCATTCGTCCCCTGCCCTTCCCTCGGCGCGAAACACGACATGGTTGAACATGCGGACCATGTATCTCTCCTTGCGCATAATGTCGAGGAGGCACTCTGTGTTCACCCTCGAAGGCGTGAGTCTCACTTTTGTTGCCACAACTTTCCCTGACATGAGCAGGAGTAGCGCGACTTCTCTCTCACGGCATGTCATGTCCCCGAAGTTCTTGAAGTACGTTGGACACAAATCCTTCCAGGACATGGTGGAGCCCTTGGGACCATCTCTCGCATATATGCAGTGGTACAAAGTCCGTTGTCCCTTGTTCTCGTCAGTGTACGGACCGGGCAGGCGCCCCTCCATCCTCCCCGACATCTGAAGTGGGATCTTGTCGTCGCTGATTGACAACTTACCCTCCTCGAACATCGCGAAGAACTTCTCCACCAGCGGCCAAACCGTGCGGGTAGACGTGGCGAGGTACAGGTACCCCCGAAGTTTGTTACTCCAATCCTTGCTGTATTCGTTTGATGCTCAGGAACGTGAATTATATGGCGATAACCCGACTCTGGATCCCCCAGAGGATAGTAATTACAGTCGACATGGGGGATTCAATGTCTCCGTTTTGGAGATTGCTTTGATAAGGTGCCGGCTTGATATGCAGCGTGCCCGTTCGAGTGGCGACCAGGACCACTGTTCGCACGTTTGTGCCTATATTCTACATGCTCCTGGCCACTACACAGCTCTTGTCCGTGCCTCTGGTTCTTGGGAATTATGGAACGGCGGTGCTATAGTGCAAACTATTACTGCCAGCTGTGATCTCGTGCGTAATTATCCTAACCTGCAAACTGTTCTAGGTCATTGACCCTATGGGTACCTCGTGTAGTTTCATGCCCGCCTCTACGCCTATCTCTGTGCCTGCCTCCGTACCTGTCTATGTGCCTGATCTGTGTCAGTCTCCTTCCAGATTACTGACCCAATTGGTACCTCGTGTACTTCCGTCCCCACCTTTGCACCTGTCTCTGTGTCTGCCTCCGCACCTGTCTCTATGCCCGTTTCTGTGTGTGTCTCCGTGCCTACCTCCATGTCTGTCACCGTGCCTGCTTTAGTCTTCATTCCCCCACATGCTGCACACCACCTTGTGACCTCCTTCTTTGTGAGATCATTGACACAGTTGCACTTGGTTGTGGAAAGCACTGACTTTGTCGACATCACTACAACCGTATAATTTTTCGGGCCCGCTGTCGGCAGGGATGCCACCTGTATCCGGATTGTGAACATCCTCTACATCCAAATGCAGTATGTCCGATCTGTGCCTGCGTGCGCTATAGCGAATGTGCACTTAACTGTGATGGTGAATGCCCCACAATCGTCATGGCCTGCAACCAGCATGCCCTCTGGCGTGCATGCTTCAGAGGTATGGTTAATGCTAGCCGCCCTGGCTTCTGCTGTGATGAAGTTGCTTACCTGAATGGTTTCCGTCCTGTAGATCAGCGGGAAGGCTGCTACCATCGCCCCCATCCTTATGACAATTGTCCTATCGGTCGTGAGGGTCTTACTTAGACGTACCTTGCACTCTGACAAAAATGTGCAGGTGCGCTGAAAAGAGTGTACAAGAATGTGCAAAGGTGGGAAACCCTTCACTAAAACTGCAAAACAGTGAAGAATGCAGTAAAAGAAGAGCATAAGTTTGTGTCATTTTACTTTGTTTGTACCCTGCACCATAACACCTTCAAAGGAAAAGTCTGAAGGGTGAAAATGATAATGAAAAATGAAGAAGGAAGTGCAGGTGCGAACGTGGTAAACTCTTCACCAAAACTGCAAAACTGTGAAAGAAAGAAGAATGCAGTAAACAAAAGAACTTCAAGATGTTTGTGTCACTTTTTCATATTTTCTCTCCCTCTGCCTATCGGTTTTCCTGTTCTGCTCCTCTCTTCCTTGTGTTTAACACCTCTTCCTTCACTTTGCCTCTTTCCCATAGCGGGCAAGTGGGCTGTTATGGCATACGGGGATGGGGGCAGCTCGCGCTCAACTTCATCAACGTGGCGAGCCTTGTACGTTAGAGGCACGGTGGAGGAGGTGTTAAGAAGACTGAGAATTTGAATGATTTCAATGTGTCTTCGTTTTTTATTTTTATCCTCTGTTCAGTGTAAATTCTTTTGGTAAAACACTGAAAGAAATAATAATACAGTGGAATAAAGAATATGAGGACACTGTTTGTGTCATTCTACTTTGTCTGTCTCTTTGCCTGTCTGTCCTTTCATTTTTCTTTTCTTCGCTCATTGTATTTCTTTTTCTACTTCACGTGCTTACGCTCTTAGTCGATAGTTCTGTGACAATATATATACACTCTGTTTTGTCGGAGTTTCACCGACTTATCAGGAGGCTATCGTCAAACAGATAGTTCTCGTTGACACTACTTTTCTGCCAGGCTGAGCCTCAAGTGTCCTTTGCTTTTGAAACTTCGAGCTGTAAATCCCGTGATTAACCTGCCTACACCCCTAGGAGCTAGCGGTGTCTGCTCTTACCAGCACCACTACCACTGGAGGGGGTTGTTAAAAAAAAAAAAAAAAAAAAATCCTGCCTACAAGAGTTCAATTTGCCTAAATAAGGGAAAACACGAACCTTGTATCAGTTTGCCTAAATAAGAAAAAAAAGGAACTGAAAAGTTCTATGGTAGACTTTTCTTCAGGACTGTCAGAGGGCTTGTCCCACGTACGCTGTCGAGTTCAACAGTCTGACAGAGTTACTTTGAATAGAAGAGAATAAATAAATGCTGTTTTTTTTAGAAAAATTACAAAAAAAGCTGTTGAAATCCTGAAAGTTCTGAAACATGAAAGAGTTTTTTTTCCTTTTTTTTTGTTTTTATTTTTTTATTTTTTTAAACTACCCAGGTGATATTTTTCGGAGAGTGGAAAGTAAACGTGGAAACGAAATACGCCTGAGCGAAACTCTCGGTATAGATATGCTAAGTGACATTTGCGACCAGGACTTCACAATGTAGTGAAACGAATGTCGACAGCGTTGATGACACGGTGCATTGATCGCCCATCAAAGGAATCGAGTTTGAGACTGTAGGGCCAGACACACCATCAACACTCTCTGCCAGAGTGTCTTCCCAGGCACAACAGACAGCTAGCTCAAGGGAAGTGGCGACTCCCGCCCATGGCAAACAAGAAATGCCAAAGCATGAAAGACCAGGGGTTCTAAGGGACAAAAGAATTGTAGAAAGTAACTTTTAATACATCATTCATCAAATCTAATAATTGACTAGTCCTGAATATCTCCATGTATCATCCTACCGATCGAATTCCAGCAGATCAAAGGCAGGGCTCTGTCTCACATGCCACACGTGGTTGAAACTCAATGCTGAGCTAACTCAACGTGGTAAGTGGGACCTAGCCCCTGAAAAGCAATAACCCTTCTTTTTTTTTCCCCCCCTCATTGAACCGTCCGGCTGCAGGTGATGCATAATTGTTTTTTATTCTGTTCACGTGGTTGCACGTGGATTCAAACTTGGCTCAACTGAGTAGGCCCATTCATTGGTAATAGCCTTTTTCTCAGGTTTATTGCTTTTATTCTTGTACTTCAAGTATTGTTCTCCTCCTTCAAAAGGTTTCTGCATGGGTCCTGGGGACCATCTCACACAAGTGTGTACATGCCATGCATCGTACTCCCACACACAATGAATAGTAGTCTCACAATAGACAAAGATAGAGAAGATGAGGACCGAGTTTCACAGCTTATACTATCAGAAATATGAAGTCAAACTGTTTCAAAGTTCCCCTGAGTCCAGTGCTCATCAGCGCAACACCAATATCTTGCCAACTCATCAATATGACTTCCAGTGAAACAGTGCTACCCCTGCAGATAGTCTCCAAATCATCAATGTGGTCACTACTCATCAGCGCCACCTCTGCAGGTCACA